GAGAATTAATTATTTAAACCTTCTGATGTACCACTGTGATCTTACTGTAGTCTTATTAACCTAAAGGCTGCACCACAAACAGGTGATCTGCTGCACACAGATCCTACGGTAACATGCTGGAATCCTTGGGAATAAGGTGGATGTGCTCGGAATAAGTGCAGCACTGCTGAAGCAGCTGCTGAAATCTCTTTTTTCTGTCAATTCAGGAGTATTATTCTAAGAATGCCTCCATTTTACAGTTTTTTATGTTTGGTAGTATGAAGTAAAGAACTCCCGGCTGACTTCGGGAAAGAGGTGAGGGACAAACTAGACAGGTTGCCAGTACATCATACGGCTCTGTAAATATCGTTGTAGGATTTAATTTTGGCCAGAAGAAAACAATAAATGAAAATAAGAATAAATTTAGCTACATTTTATGTAGTTGGTTTACAACCGTGATTCCCTCTCAAAATGGATAAGAAGGAGACAACAGAAATCTCATTCCCACAAATTCTGATTTGTTTTTAGTTCGTTATACAACTCCTTCAAAGTGCAATCACTTTCACCTCAGAAAAGCAGACTTTTCTTTTTCTTGCATTTGTATCTTAACATCTCCATCCACTTACCTGTGTGAGACACAACACACTCAAAGTCTATGAAGCTGTTAATTGCTGGGACTGTAATTACATATCTGACATGCTTCCAACGTACCAATCCAACAGCTTTCTCAGGTCACTGGACAGATGTCTCTCTCAAATTCCCAGAGCTCATTCTAAATCTGGCGATAGAGATCAGTGTTAATGCAACCAAACCCCAGAACAGCCTGTATGCTCATCCGAGATTTGCACAAATTCTTCATCAGTCTTGCTTTTTATTCATGTGTGAGTCTTTCCCATCTGTAACTATCTTTTCACCATTTTATAACCTTTATAAAACATATAGAATTCCTCTTATTTGCAGTTAGAAAAATTCTAACATACATATAAAACAATCTATTTCACACTGTGACTTCTAACAAAAATCATCATAATGTTATAGTGTTAAATGTTACAGGGGCTCATTTCAGACTTGTATTAAGTCCCATGTCAGACGGTAGTGTTGCATCCGGGGGGACAGCGTAATCATGATGAAAGCCTAACAACATGGCGGTCTTGGGAATCACTACTGTGTGATATTTTGCAGATGGAGGGTATAATTAGTGCCCCTGTTTCTGGATGATATTTAACCTAGATAAAGGGAAGCTTTTTTTTCAGTCTGTTCACTTAATTTGTGAGTCGTCTTCCATCTCCTCTGGATCCGGAGCCTGTGTCACTGACAGAACTATGTCACAAATTGTGTCTAATTTGAATTGTTTCGGCCATAATTGTATCCATCGTGTTTCTAACCAAAAGTCACCAATTGAATACTGGGATTTTTTTTTAAAGAAAGAAGGAAGAATTGTCAATACTGAAATATTTTAAGAATGTCTGAAAAGAAGCCAGCAGTCATACTCAGTAAAGTTACTGTATACAGAAGGAAGCCTTGCACTGAGTCCCACTGTGGAACATTTCCTGTTTTCATTTCAGAGTCCTGGCAGTGCCCACCCAGCGCTTTTGGTCTAGGAGCACAGGGGAGAGCTTAAAACATTGTGAGCAACATTTTTGTTTAAAGTTTCCAAGCATAGCTCTAGATCAAGAGCCCAGAGTGAGGCAGACCAGCAGTGGTGGAGCTGCAGAAAATGAAACATGGGCTCTGGCCAGTTGTGGAATGAAGCAGTAAATGAGAGAAATAAAAGCTTACTCACAGCCCGGTGTGAAAATGCCACATCACAGAGGTTCACGTGAAGGTCACTTTTCTTTAGAGAGAAGCTATCCTGTACACTTTGTGCACAGCTAACATACTGCTGGTGTCACACCATGACTTGCATCGGGTCAAGGGAAAAAAAACTCATTAAAGCATATTTATTTTTTCTGGATATTTGGCTGATTTTTTTTTTTTCATCATCATGAATGCAAAGTGTTTGTGTTATGTGAGGGTTTCACATTTATCTGTGAGACTGGGCCAGTGCAGCACCACTTTCCCCAAAAAAGCCTGACAGAGGACATATGAATCCACTGCCTCATGCTGTTATTATGGTGTGAGACTTTTATGAAAGACTGCTTTGTTTTGTGTGGTAGGATTATTCAGCTCTCAGTCTTTATGAGGGTTACCTTTGACATCCTGCTGACAGCTCGGACAACAAATTGAGCTAGCCTTTTTGTCTTTTTTTGGGGATAATTGTTTTGGCTTTACACAGAAACCTAAAAGGATTGTCGTTATTTATCTCACTGCATTGTATGACTGGTGTCGACATTCATATTTAAAGTTTTCCTGCCAATGAGCCATTGGGAATTTGTGTTTGAATGAAAGGCATTGATTAGTGGTGGTGGCAGGAGTCTAGGCTCCAGAAACAAGTTCCTTTCTGTCATTAATTGCAGCCTATAAATAGAAAATGCAGTGAATATCTAAGTTTTGATAAAACACAAATGATCCATCAAATTGCTCAAAGGTTTATCAGGAAAGGACGCTGTACCTTGAGACTTATTTGGGAGGTCAGGGTATTCAGGGTTGGAGTTTCTCTCTTGTATTTAATCAGCGTGCTCCAGAAGGGTTTGTCATGCCCGAGCTCTGTCTGTGGCACTCTCTCCCTCTCTGTTGTTGTCTTTCAGTAGCTGTCAGTAGCAGTGGCCCTCAGCCAAGCCACAGCAGGCAAAGACAGGCACAAGAGAGCACCAGAGGGACAACCTCCAAAATCACAAGCATGAGCAAGAAAGCACCAAGTAAAACCACACTCATTTAACACTGAATCACCCAAAAAAAAAACCTTCAAACTCTTGTTCCTTTTTCAAGAATTGCATGGACATGTCATATCTGCCTCTGAGATACCTACACACTGTTCTGTGTTGCAGGAAAGTGGTTATATGATTATCACTCAAGGTAGATTTGCTTACTCATCACCGCTATAGATAAATGAGAGCACACACCGTTGCACACCTTGTGCTCATCAGTTACCCAAGTGAGACAGGTGGTGCTGGATAGTCAGCGTGTGTGTCCTCCCCATGGCAGTGTGTGCTGGCATTCTCCCCTGCCATACTTTTGCTGCCTATGCACACAAACATTGCAGATGGGCTCCGGGGTGGCGGGAAGCCGAATGATCCTTTACAGTTTTCCGCCGTATGAAAACACACTTTCACTATAAATCATTTAAGATCATGGAACAAAAAAGTGAAACAGTATAATATCCAGCCATGATCTACTGATGTTGGCTGGATATATTACTGTTGCATTTCCACCCACAGCTGAAGTTACCTAATGTGTTGGTAATGTATAGTAAGACTGTACTATTCATTAATGGGATTGTAATATGCTTTAATGTCCTGTCTTTGTCTATGCTTTTATCATAGTTTAAGCCTGATTGTATTAATGTTTGTGATTGAAAATTCTTTCTATCTATCTATCTATCTATCTATCTATCTATCTATCTATCTATCT